AAGCCTTTTCCCTATTTAGTTATTTCTTCTAAAAAATATTCATCCTTCAATATGGCGAGTTGTTTTATGAGGCCCCCGGGGCTAAAGAAGCATCTAAAGATCCTGTGGCTGTCAAACCGGTACCTGTTCTTCTTCTCCAAAACACTCTTCATCGATGGTCGTTTTTCAAGTTGAGACAAAAAGCTGCAATTCCACTAAGACGAGCCCAGCTCTCGCCGAGGGTGCTCTCCCCTCCTCTGAAACCTGCAGATCAGTTCACGGACAGCACGACTGCCCTCGCTCGCTCCGCTCCCCACGGGACGCCAGAGCTCAGCCACGTTCGGAAGCCAGAGTCCCCCGGACACGGGGCTGGCGGGAGAGACGGAGCACCAGGCTACGGGAAGGCAGAGCCCAACTTCTTCCAGAAACCTTTATTCCATGCAGCTTCTCAGCCAAACAGCAAAGAGTCCGAAGGTGACCGTTACCACTCCTCCTACCCCGCAAGTCCTCACGCGCACATCTCTTCCTCCGACGTCTCCAATGGAAAGCTGATGGGGGTATTAACTCTCTGTCTTGCTGCTCTGTGTTCTGTTCAAGCGGTCAAAGCTTCTCTGGAGCGTGGAAAGGGAGCTTTTTAGCTGTGAAGATACAACCATTACACCCCAACTCAATTACTTCGGTTGGTCTGCTGCATGGGTGAGCAATAACAGGAAAAGAATGTTTCTCTCCTCCTTTTCTTTTAAAGACTGCATGCAATTTCCTCCTCCCTGTTTCTATAAACAGTTGCCTCGCTGTGCTCTCCTAACAGCTGTACCCTGTACAGTTTGTTAGTAATTATAAACAGTCCAATATGATGAAGTCTGAACACCTCACCAGACAACAGAAGATGACCCACCCCAGCCATTTTTAGTCACAGTTAACGTTCATAGCAAATACTGAAAGGAACATGACCGCAAAGCACCTAGCCCTCCCAGTGCATTTTGGTGCACAGAATGTGTTCAGATTATTGACAGCCCTCAGAAAACGCAAGGTAACAGGCACTAAGACGTGTCATGGCTTCCACACAAAAGTGTTGTTTGGGATGAAAAAGGTGGTTGAATTCTCACTTTTTTTTTTAACATTGTCCAAAAAGCAGTTTAACACTTCAGAATTAGGATTTTTTTTTTGTAGTAAGCAGAGAAACTGGAATGGGCAAGGAAATTAATTTCTACAGAGAAATTTCCATCACTCAAGCGTTTTCAAGCTTCGATCAAAATGGTTAATAGATGAATAGCAGTTTTGTGTGCAGAGACCTCTGAACAAGGAGCATCAAAAATGGCTGCTTCTTCTATCCTCCTTTAGCGCGTGGGAGAACACAGCAAACTGGTGATGGATAGAGGTACATGTGAACTCCCCCACAGCTTTCCTAATCTAATAATTTCTTCTGTCACATTTTAAGATTTAACAAGAGAACTTAAAATCAGAAGGTTCATAAGTTGTAAGTAAAAACAAAGTACGAGTTTACTGTCCTTCACTTATTGAGTTGAAATGTCAGCCTAGGGGGTTATCAGTCCTGGACTTCAGGATCAGAGACACACAACAGCATTCAAGAACCTCATCTTTTATATAGCGTTTGTAGTATGTATGAGCCTGGAAGTGTAAATTACTGAGAAGAAAGAATATTAACTCCATAGCTCTGGAGCCTCTCAGAAACAGTCTGTAGAATGTATTTATTTTTCACTGGAAATTAGGTGGCCCACTGATACCAAGGCTTAACAAAACTCTCACCAGTATCTAGCAGAGTAGTGAGGAGCAAAAGCCTGGATAAATCTGAATGAAGAAACCTCAATGAGGTGGGCAAATGCTTCACATTATGTTTTGAGTCTTCTTAGAAAAGAGGATCTGTTTTGAATTATTCCCGTGTCTGCTCTGTCATGATTCAGAACTGCACCAACACATCTCATCAATAAACCTCTGAAGTACTTTTAAGAAAGTTCACATGAGTAATCTTAGTCCAAAGTAAAAACAAAAACCAAAACATCAGAAACATGAGCATTGCCTTTGTACCAAATTCAAGCCTAGGACAACACAAGTAAAGGAGTCATGAAAACTTTAGTTAGCACCATCAGAAATAAAGCAAAAGCTACTATGGCAGAAGGGAAAGAAAACTGAGTTGAGGAACAAAGAGGATCACCAGGAAAGACTGGCAGACCTACCTGCTCAAGCATTTCAATTGAGTCTCTTAAAACTCCCTTCACATGTTTAACCTGTTCCTTATCATATTGAGGGATCTCCTCTTTTGATACCATTTCTGGGGATACGCTGAAAGAGATGGAGATTACATCAGAAACATGAAACAAGCACCTCCGTGCCTTTCTAAAAGCAACTGTGCTCTGCCATCGCTAAAAGCATCCTTTTCCAAAAGCCACATAAAAAATTGCCTGCAGTTGAATTTCAGTCCCCATTGCCTTGAAGATACCACCTCAGACCTCTGCAGACAACAGCCACCAAGAACAACGTACTCAACATTATACAGAGTAAGTTCTCACACTTCAGAGGGCAAGATCTTTCCTATGGAGAAAGCTACTCTAATCCGTTCTGAGATAATCACTATGGGAGGTCACCACACTGCTTCCATACTCAAGATCAGGTTATGGCTTTTAACTCATTTGCCAATACCACACTCCAGAGAGGAAGCAACATCTGAGCCTCTTCCAGGTGTCCAAATACAGAAGGCACCTACCATGGAAGTCTCAGGGGGAGAGGGGATTTAGCAGGAGACTCACAGAAAGAACCTAAGAAGCTAAATGAATCTCTAACATTACATTTGAGATTGCGCTGGTTCACACTGGATAAAGTGAACGCTTCGGTTCTGTGATCAGCACTATGATGTTCACAGCAGATGAGTCACAGCAGGCTGATAAATGCAAGCTAAGGTTAACAATCCCCCAAAATACAGCTTGTCAAAGGAGAAATTTATTACTGCAAGATGCAGTCAGACATGTCACTGGATAGGTGCACAGACCACAGAAAAGCAGCAAGTCCCAGCAGCTTTTGAAAAACTTACCACCAAGTTTCATTGTTCAAAATCTATTTCTTTAGATCAAATTCCAACATAAGCTGAGGAAGGAAGAAAGCAAGCAAGCAAAGACTGTGAATTCAACTTACTTCAGAGAGCTTTCTTCCTGAAGCTGGACATGATAAAGGGACTGAGCTGCATGCTCTATCTTTGACAGTTTGAGAAACAGTGTTATGTTCAACAAGACCAAGAGCAGCAAACTGTAAAGAGAAAAGAACAAAAATCAAGTCCTATAACAATTTCATCTGCAATGCTACAGAAACAAGATCTGGGCTACAAACAGCTAAGAAGAAAAGAGAATTCTTCTGGGAGAAAACGAGTGTGGGGCAGTGCTGCACTGAAAATAAAGATCTATCCAAACAATTCTTAGTGGTTAGTTTTAAGCAGTGTAATAAAAACCTATAGGAATGACAACAGTGTCTCCTCTTGGAACTTTTAAAACCAGGAATGAGTAAATTCTAGAAGTTTTTTAATAGGATCAGACATATGTAAACCCACAAGGTAGACTGGTCTGGCAAGTCAGCATTTTCATTCTGTGCGTCACTTCCCAAGCCAATCCACTCCCCTCCTGTACTTGAGTGCTCCTATATACACATTCGGATTAGGTTAGGATCTGTCATGCTATGTGCAATGTTAACACTCAAGTGAGGTACAGGCAAACACAGATAAAGGCCAAGATGAGCTTGAGTGAAGCCACGTTTTAATGCAAGCGAGTACTTACAAGACACTCATTACTACAATGATGGTGGTGGTCCTACTTACAGCATCTCTTTTCCTTCCTATAGGGCATGGAATAGAAAAGAGGTTAAAAAGTACTGAAGAACATTCCTAAAGGATGCCTGCAGATACATGTCCGTGCCCAGCATTTCACACAGAACAGCTCAACAGCTTCTGATGAAAAAGAGTAACGGATCACGTGGGTGCACAAGATCATCTCCATCATTCACCAAGGTGTCTCTGCAGTCATCTCAGACAAGCCAGCTGGACAGTTAGGCTCTTCCATCAGGAGGAAGATTCCCCCTACCCCAGTATGCTGCAGGGAATAGCTCTGGGGCATCTTCGCATCAAACCTAGACAGCCCGAGAAGGCTACAGTCCACCCGTTGCTAACACTCCTTCAGCACATATGCTGCTAGTCACCCACTAGCAGACGCAGCCTGCAAAGTGGCTCTCTTCTGCTTGTTCTCCTGGCCACATTAGTCTTTCTGACAACCAGTGTCAAACCAAGTTCTCCTTTAACTTGTCCCATCCTTTCCAGCTTGGTTTATATATTGACCTGATGACAGTCTTTTGAAAAAGCACCTGCTAGTCAGAAGGCAACATGGACCAGACACTAGTGAGGGAGAGGAAGTGAGCAGCAGTCACCTACCACTGTGGGCAGGCTGATCTCCAAATATAATTTCCCTGATCTCCCAAAGCAGTTTCCTACATTCATATTTTCTGTCCTGGCCAAGGAGCATACACAGAAGCTGTAATGTATACCAAGACAGACACACTCACCTGAAAAGGTGGCGCAGCAGTAGCAAAATTAAGTAATCAGGAAGTAATCTCAGTTAGGTAAAGAGTCCATTACACATGCTGTTGATCCAAATGCTCTCTCCACGCTACATGACTCACTGCTATCTCCGCCCTTTCGGAGAGAGCACTTGCTTTTCAGTGTTTGCAAGTCAGCTGGTGTCATGAAATCCACCATTCTCTGGTACACGTTAGTGCACAGATGTTCCTCACCTCTGTAGGTGTAGCTAATATTGTATGTGCTAGTGGCCAAGCCTGTTGTGCCTAGGGGCAGTGGAACTGCAAGAAATGCTTCAGTCCCCCAGAAATTACAGAAGTAGGCAGGAAATGGACTCTTCAACATAGAAAAAAACCCAAACCCAAGATGACAGGGCCAAGAGGTAAGTAACAAAGTTCAATCAACTCACAACTTGGGTGTGCAGTTATCTGAGGAAATAAAGCAAGTTTTCAGCAACTTTACACAAGATGGGTTAAATTTCTCTCTGATCCCATCTCATTTTCAGTCCTGTGCAGGTGCAGTGCAGCATTTTAGGCTTTGGTTGGTTTTTGTTCATTTGTTTGTTTTAAAAACAGAAGGTGAGATTAAGGTTTGACTTCATGAGATAGTCATCATAAAAGTGACTACACATACTCCAAATCTATTTTATGCAAGCTTGAACACACTAAAGCATTTGCTGTCACACCAATTAGATAAAGACAATGAGTGTAACATACACGCAAGTGTTACTCTTGCACTATGTTAAGAGTTAAGCTTTCTTCAACACGCCTTTTGGAAAACACTTGATATAAGAATTCCTACCTATTATGCTGCCCTGGGACTCTACTCCCATCTAGGAGTGCTGGGAAGAGTGTTTAGGAAGTGAATCTGCCAGACTCCGATGTAAAGTGCGTCGTCTTCGTCTCAGGGCAACTAATTTTCCAGAGTCTTCTATGGACTGATTAATTGCATATTCCTCCATTAGGAGATCTGATTCTGCAACAGAAAAAAAACAAAACAAAAAACGTTACTCAACTTTCAAAAGCAAAGCTGAAAAGCCTGAAGACTTGACTTGTGAGATATGGAGGGTGGCAGTGAGGGGAGTAAGTGTATCTTCTAGGAAATGAACTTAAAGCAGGTAGCTGACAAACTACACCTTGATCAGTATTACCTGTCCTAATTGCTAGGTGGCACTTAGTACACTTTTCAGATATGATGTACATTCAGCCTGTGCAGGATTGTTGAAAGATATGTTAGATAGCAGTTGGAGGAGCACTTCACGACACTTAGTCTGAGACTACGAATTGTGTTAGACTGTGAGCCTGCAGCCATGGCCGGCCACGCTGTTCACAGACATAGCCAGGGAGACTGCCAAGTGCCACTGCTTCTATTCTCATACCCACAATCAAGGAAAAACTTAAAAGATAGGCACACGCAATTGAAATTAACAGCTTTCCTGTTGCTCCTCACATTTCCTTCAGAAACCAATTACTGGCAAGGTATACAAGAGCTCCTTGTTAGCATAAAGCTACGAGGCTTCTTTTACACCCTGGAATAGGCAGATATATTGACAACAGAACCCTCTGACTTGGAGATTCCTTTGGTGTTGCCTTCTTTTCAAACCACTCTTTAAGAAATTGTGTTTGACAGACATGAAAACATACATAGGAAAGACAGCCTCCTTACTCTACCAAAGAATAAAATGCCTCACCAAGTTGTTTGAAGTTTTCCTGTATTCCTCCCCAGGTATTCTTCTCGATTACAGACTTGACAAGGCCCCAGGGCTGTTTTTTATACTTCACTTCTGCAGAAACCCTAACAAACAGAATGCAATAGAGAAAGAGTGCTCTCTAGGTAGCACAGTGACAGCACAAATCTCTTATCAGAAGCAGGCCTCTAGCCTATGTCCATACTTTGAAATATCAGCTAGAACTGCCTTGGCTTTCCATCTAGGCAGCACTTACACTGACATAAGGCAAGACACAGGCAGTAGCAAAGACAACATATCTTGCTAAAGCTTCAGGAGATTCAAATGTCTAAATCATAGAGATTATTTTTTTATTATTATTTTTTTCCTTCAGACTCAGACTAGCAGAGAATTGCTCTCTTCTGAAGTGTTCTCATTTTAACACATTTAAAATAGGCTTCAGGCTTTCAGATCACAAAGTCCTGCTTTTTACTCTGTACGTGTACACAGGATGTATTACATGGGCACACAATGGCAGCAGGTGAAATTCATTATCACCACTCATGCACCAAGTGCTCAGATCTTACCCTGAGTAGACAGAAATTAAAATCTGTCTTTCTGTGAGCATCACAGAGAGGAAGGGACATTCCTGCCTTGCATTCCCCGGGTCAAGCTAATCAATAATGCTTCCAGAACAGAAATTAATTGGGAGCAGAATCCTTCAGTGGGCTGCTTGTAACAGCTGAATGAATCCCAAAGCTCTTCATTGCAGGACAAAAGGATAGCCTGATTTAGGTCAAGAACATTGACAGTCCTAGAAAACACTAACATTTTTGAATAGTCACTCAAATCAGTTTAAGACCACTGTGTTTCTAATCTAACAAAACAGCATCTTTCAAACAGAGTTTTTGAGCCATTTTAAATGCAGTATAATAAAGCCAGCTGTAACACCACTATGTACCTTTTGTACTATACTTTCATGTTCGGTGCACCATATTGAAACCTAGGGTTGCTCTTCTCCTAGGGTTGCCAAGTGTCTCAGATAAAACAAATGTAGCCCCCAGAGAGGAAGAATAACTCACTCAAAAAAAACAAACAAAAAAACAAACAAACAAACAAAAAAAACCACCCAAACATCCAGAACAGTTGTTCCAGGACCTTTCTTCCCTTCTCCTCCCAGTAGAGAGGGAGTCTTCAGCACTGTTATAGCCCAAGATAAGCCAGAATAAAATCCAGGCTTGCTGGGTACTGATGAATTCTGAGATAAAAGGTCTTAAAGACAGCACAGAAACTACCAAGGATTACATAGTCAGAAAGTCACACAAATGCACTGAACGTGGAACTTCATAGCTTCAGATGTTGTCAACAAATGGGAGAGGAAAGGGAAGTGCCTTTTAAGACTCCCCTATCTAGGTAGAGTTTAATAATAAAGCCTGACTTGCTTGAGTACCCTCCGTGCAGAGGTAGGTATGTTCCACCTTCCCTGCACCTTCCTGTGAAACCATCTTACTCCGCAGGCCCTTAAAAAGGATATCTGGGAAACTCTGTAATACAACAACTTGGTAGCTCCAATTTATCGCACTCAGACAGCTGCACTTAAGACAAAGCTGGTCAGAACCCAGCTCAGTCTTGGAGAGGAGTTCTGTACCTTGTCGAGTCAACACAGAGTTCATTTCTCACCGAATTATTGAGATCCAAATACAGTATACATGTCACAAGAGATAAACCGAGCTTATTTTTCAGAAGAGATCCCCAACTTCAGGAGAAACTGACCTTCTCTATGCTGTTGGCAGATCTTTTGATAAGCACACTTCAACAACCTGTAACATACGTGCCTTGGCTTCTCCCCTCCCACTGTGCACCACACAGGCTCACCGTAATCGACACTTGTGACTGGATGTGCGGCTGATGCAGTATCTGCTCACAGTGTAGAAATAATCATGGTAGGGGACATCATGGGTCAGTATCTCAGCATCCACCTGATAAGACTGACCTTTCTGGCTCTGCTTATGCAGGATCTACCACAAAAGAAAATAAAAATAAGAAGGTATTATTCATCATACCCGTGGTTTTTTTTGGTTTTTTTTGGGTTTTGTTTTTTTGTTTTGTTTTGTTTGTTTGTTTTGTTTTTTCTGTTTCATTCTGAATTCCTTAGGCTAGATCCACCAACTCCAAGTGAACTAGCAGTAAGGAGAAAGCCTGAACAACAACAATAAAAACCAGTTAAGAATAGCAAGTATAGATCAGGTGGGGAAAAGAAGATGCCTCCTGCTTAAGCCAACATAGACAGCAGCAGTATTTCCCCACTGCCATTTCAAGTACCAGATGCAAGGCTGGCCACTGACTCACAACCACAGCTCTTCTTCGAGACTGACATATGAGACCTTTCCCAAAGCAGAATTACAGAATGGTTGAGACTGGAAGGCACCTCTCGTGGCCATCTTGTCCGAGAACCCTTCTCAAAGAGCCATCCAGAGCAGGCTGCCCAGGACCACGTCCAGATGGCTTTCCAGTATCTTCAAGGAAGGAAACATCACAGCCTCTATGGACAACCTGTTCCACTGATTCGTCACCATCACATTAGAAAAGTGTTTTCTGATGTTCAGAGGGAACCACCTGTGTTTCAGTTTGTGCCTGTCGCCTCTGATCCTGTCACTGAGCACCTGTAAAAGGTGTGTCCTTTGGTGGCAAAGGCCTGGCTCAGTCTTCTTTGCACTCCCCCTTCAGATACTTATATGCTTTGTAAGATCCTCCTGAAACTTCCCTTCTCCAGGCTGAACAGTCCCAGCTTTCAACCATTTCTCATAGGAGATGCTCCAGTCCCTTAATCATCTTAGCAGCCCTTTGCTGGACTCTTTCCATCTCTCTCATACTGGGGAGCCCAGAAGTGGACACTGAAAGCACATTATTGCACCTTTTCACCCCCCAATTTGTAAGATATATTAACACTCTTCCCATAGACTTTGTGGGAGAAGTTTACAGCCATCTGTAAGGGCAGAAAGCCTCTGATTTCATTAGCATTTGCTCACTAATGGCGAGAAGGGCAGCAAGCTACCCTTAGAGATGCTATGTTTAAACTGCAGATCCACATTCAGCTCACTGAACTCTAACCGTGGTCAGATCTCTGACAGACCACAGAGTTCACCTCTCCCTTGCTTTAAAGGGCACCAAACAGACACACACACAGTACCTGCTTTTCAGTCGCAGTTGTGAACTTCCCACAAAGTGGATTGTTAATCGTTACAGTGTATGTCAAAGTCCTCAACTGATTGCCACTGGAATCTCTATTCCAAGGGGTTGATACAGCATCTAGATGAGAAATTATGCAAAATCTCACATGCAGATTACCTAAAAGGCATTCTCTTTTCCCTTTCATATCTTAACAGTCTAAGAACAGTGGTGGGGAGAGAGACAGAAAACTGATTCCAAATGGTTGTGTTTTTCCATAGGGAAAGGGAAAATTGTAGTTCACTGATAAACAAAGGTGAGGTGCTAAGTAGGTGAACCTGACTCTACTGAAAGAGACTTGAGGGTGTGAAGAAAAGTAAGGAATTAAATGAAAATGTCATTTCCCATCTGGTTAAAGTTGAATAGATTCACTTAGCATTATCAAAAGCTTTTGCCACTTTGCCTTCCAAGCTGACACTGAATAAATATTACCTCACTGAATAAAATTTACTCATCCAGAAAATTAAAGCCTGTGAGTGTCATTTAGCAGGATGCAATAGTTTTGCCTATGTGCCAGCCGTACACATTTCACTATTTCTAGGACACAGTGTAATCAGAAATACCTCACAGAATACATCAACTTAAAAGCCTAGCCAAAATTCAGGCATTAAGGTGCAGTTTTATGGTGCACTGAAATGAGATTTTTACTCCAAAACTTGACTGATCTACAGAAACAACAGGCTAGCTTTACATACTTTCTCTCATAGTGGAACTTTAAAGCTTCAAAATTCTTTTAAAGCAAGAAGAAACTTCAACTTAGTCCCATTTAACATTTCTCAGAGGCTGAAATTTTCAGGATAGCTTGCAACATGGACAGAAGGGAGAAGAGTATATTACCTACTATACTCCTGGAATTGAGAAACCTCTGCATGAAGTGAGAATTTGTGAAAAGGATTTCAAACATCTTGTCTGCAGTGATGTGGAAAACTCTGTTTATAAAAAGTCTCCCATAGAGATCATTCTCAGAGACAGCCTCCTTCGCTACTAAGGAAACAAAGAGAGAACAGGTTAAGAAACGAGCAGTGTTCTGAAGAAACTTTATTATACTCTGAGCTTTATTACAGTTCAAATCCTTCCCAAGCTTGCATCAGCGTTAGTTTCTCACACTTAGAAACCCAGTAGCGATGGCAGCACATGATCTGGTAGCTAGGTTGTCTTCAGGAGCAAAGTCCAGAGTTGATTTTCTACCCCCTGCCCCATTTTCCTGTGCAAACAGAAGTAGATAAATCAGCATCACAAGGTCACATCCCTTTAGGTTTGCCTTCAGTATTCTACTTATCCTACAGGAAGTGTTGGTGAAGACGAAAAGTTAGCAAAATCTTCATTAATGCGTGTGTCTATTGTACAAAGGGCACACACATAGCAGGCAGGACAGTGAAACCACACTAGCTTTCTTGCTTATGGCTAGTTTCACAATTCTGCTTTTTAATTCTGTAATGCTGCTCGCGTCCACAGTCTAAGAGACCAGCTAAAGACTCCCAAACAGTTCCTCAAACTCCCTCCACACCTATCCATAAGAGGAATGCAAGAGGTACCATGCTCCGTTTTGCCATCCTGAAAAGTGCACCAAGATGCTTAATCGCCATTCCCTATTTCAAAACCACCAGCAAGCACCCCAGGGGCATTCTGTGGCTGCAGCACTGCTATTTCTGCTGGCTGCTGGTATGACTCAGCTTTGTGGTTGACTCAACCACTCGTGCAAGAGACAAGAGACAGAATTATAATCCTGGATGGCAAGCATTTCCCTATGCCAACCCCAACTCTATCTGCTTGTGCTTTAAAAAAAAGTCCATCCCAAGGTATAACTACCAAAAAAAAAGAACTCACCCCCACATATCACTAAAATGAAACAAAAAGCCTGAAAGAAAATCTTGCAGAAGCAAGACAGAAGTCAGGACACCTAACTTTCAACCAATACAAATGAATGCTCAGAGCTAGCAAAGGTCAGTGCCCGCCACCAATGCAAAGGTAGCTTGAATGTCACGCTATAGTTCACAAGCTGCCCATAGGCTAAGGTTACAGCACTTAAAACACTACTGCTTGGTAGCAGTCAGTATTGATAAATGCAAATGCAGCAACTAAACACCACAACAGTCCCCAAGGAAATCTGACTCTGACCAGACTTCGACTCTAGTGCTGCTCCTAGCATGCTAGAAGTCGCTGTTATACATCTGCCTCCAAAAAAAGTTCTCTTTGACCTACTCTGGCTTCAATGTAGGACCCCAAAAGTGAAGCATGAGTCTCACATTTATGTGCTTGCACAAGAGATGGGCTTCCTTCCCAGGTGGTGTTCTGCATATGCAATTGTAAGTCTATACAATTGCGAGGTGGGACAGAAAGCAAGCACACATTTCAAGAGAGCTATTTAACTACCCAACATGCAGTCATTACACATTACAATACAGATTCTGCTGTGCTGAAAACATTCTGTGGAAAGCCAGAAATTCAGCCTGGGTTTTCAGCTTATGTTCATTGTATTCCCTCTCAGAGCTGAACCCAGTGCCAGCAGAATGCAGTCCAAGTGAGCTGTAAGTTTGACCTCTGCTAACAAGACCTCAACATTACAGACCTCTCCTTTCAGAGCGCACTGCCCGCTTCCTCTCTTCACTAAGAGACAGGAAGATTCAGATATTGATGCTGACACGCCCTTTGCCTACTGCGCATCAGCCAAAACACATGGTGTCACATACCACGTAATTCAAACCTAGTTACTCTGGCTGAGTCAGTCTTTGCCCAGGGAATCTGCTAAAAAAAAAAAAAAAATACAGAAACCCAGACACATGATCAAGCCACCATGCATCAGATAAGCTTTGACAGCTATTTGTATATGTCTTAGCAAACACAAGATAAAACAAGTTACCTTTGCCACAGCGAGGCTTAGTGAAATGACGCAACTTTATGTTCACCTGAAATGCCTGAGAACAGCTACTATGTTTCTGCTGATATGAGGTAATTTGGTAAGCCACAGCAATTTATGATATGCACAAAGCCCATGCATTATTACCTTAAGGTGCAGACCTTGCTACTGAGATATCTTACTCTTCAAGCATGAAGCCTGCCCTCCTTCTACCAAGTCTTAGGCAAGACCATTCATGGGTCTGTGTAAAATTTCCTGTTAGTTCCTTTGCCTACGCTATTTCTGTCTAGTCATATCTCTCAGAAGTCAATGAAGTGCTACGTGCATCATAGTATCTATTGAGAAATATGTTTTTACTTACAATCCCTCTCAGCTCTTGGAACAAACAAAAAAACAAAAAATTTTTAAAATGCTGTTATCACATGAAGCAGTCTTTTCAGAAAATCCCAAGCTGAAACTGGCTTGATATATCAGGCCCACCAGCCACTTTAGATGCTAGGATTCAAACAGCTGTTTTCCAGAAAGCCTGGATATCTTTCAGCTGATAGAACTAGAAGGTGCACGTCTGAATGCTGCTGTGAGCTCCACATCTGTGGAAGCAAGTCGCTGCATACACCAAGCGCCTGACAAGCTTCAACTCGCTTTCATCTGGGCTTCTCAGAGTTCATCTGTAGAAATCCTAGATGAAGCAGGGAGCAGAAACAGTAGTGTACAGTATACACATTTGCAATTTGAGCAGAACAGAAAGCTTTAACCATTTGTCTCTGCTGCAAAGGAACATGCATGTTTATTTACTGTTTTCTTTACTTTTAACTCACACCGGTAGAACTACCCCTCTTATTTATCTCAATACTAGAGCAACACCAAGCATTCTACCTAGGACTGGCTTAGAAATACTGTTTAGGAAGAAAATTTTTTGTGCAGGTATCCAGATATCAATATAACTTACTAACTTAATGCTGTTCTAACCCCTCAGCAGTATGCAATTATCAACCACTAACCCTCTTAGCCTGAATACATTTATAGATAAATTGGAGCTCCTGTCTGATAAGAGACTGTGAGATTATTCTGACTTTAGGTTAGGATCCCTAGTGTCCCAAAAATCCAGAAGCAAACATATTACCCAGAGTGCCCTGGTTCAACATGAAGACAGCAAGTCTGTTCCCTCCCCCACTACTGCTTTGCACTTCCTAAGGTCATTGCAAGGCAAGCTGTGAAATAATGTCTGAATATAACACTATTGCATAGCAGTGACTGCAGAGGTTTGAAAACATATATAGTCTAAGAAAAGAAAGAGACAGAAAACTGGAGGGGGGGAAGCAGGAAGGAAAAAAAAAAAAATTGTTCTTAAAATTCCCATTACCAACCAACAAGCTTGAAGAAGCTAAACAGACACCACAAGCAAATTAAGAAAGCTGAACCGATAAGAACAGAGGCTACCAAACAAATTAGTAAGACGGCTGATTTTTCCATTCCACGGAGTTGGGGAGGATCAGGAGGTATATGGATATATGCAAATCTTGGCGCTGTTGAGGATTTCTATGCTACTGGGGATAGGGAAAAATGGCACACTGCATGAAGTATATGCAGGTAGGAGCCTTTAACCAGATACACCTGAAATCAAGTCAATAAAACTGATTCCTAGAGTCAACATGTTCCAGACACCATATATTTAAAGACTGCACCAGCAACATTAATGATTATCAAAGAACTCTCCTATACTTTAAAAGACTAAGCACAAAATTAACTTCAGGAGGTACTGAGTAAGTAGTGTAACAATGCTAGCTTTTTCCAGTTCACAAGATAAAAAACTTAGCCTTTTGCCTTTAGATAACTCAAACATACATCCTCCAAACCCCAAGGCAACAAATAAACTGTAGTTATACACTCAACAAAACACGTTTTCAGTATTTTTATTAAAATGTCAACAAGATAACAGGGCTACTCTTCCATATATATGTTGTATGTCCAAAATTTCATACTTGGGAAGACAAAAAAAAAAAACACACAACGGGGCTGAACTAATTTCAGCCACCCTGTATTTAAAAAATTTTCTGCCCCATATATCCCTATCTGCAAGAAAAGTCAAGCCACCAGTGTTCCCATCTCACAGCACTACAGTGCAAGCAGTTATGCTCTCCCGCAGACTACACATTTAAGGTGGTTATTAATACAAATAGAAATAATACAGTAAGTCTGTCAAGTTACACAAAGAGTTCAGGAACTTATGATGTCCCCATATACGGTAAAGCTTTCTAACAGAAAAGACTGTTTTCCTGTCTCCTGCTTTCCTCTTCTTTATTTGAAGTATTTTATGCTGCTGAACATTGTCATTGTGTATAGAAAACCTACATACAAGAGAGTCATTTGAGGAAATTCAGAATCTCCTGGCTCTATTTTGGAAATATAAATTCTGTGCTTGAACTAAAGTTTATTTTCTGAAATTTAGAATCAAGACCACAGATATTAATTTTTAGCTTAGCCAAAAGTTTGTCATGGCTCAAGATTCATGCTCCAATTTATGAAACAGAACAAAAGCACCAAGGCACAGGTTAATAGGCCTGTGGCACAGTGAGACGCATCTCCCCCCCACCCCCCAGCAAGCAATGAATTGCTTAGGGCAAGGGAACTAGTGTTGCTAAGGCTCTGGCATTCCAGCTTTGGGTGTCAGGTGGATCTGGAGTTGGAGAACAACCGTCTTGAGCTTGCCCCTCACCTTATTTGCTAGGACACTTCCATGGGCAGCCTGAGTATGAGCCACAGAACACAAGAGAGATTAATCGCATGAGTAAACCTTTGCCATGTAGGAAAGCTAGTTTCGTTTGCATGAAGGCATTCACCTTGTAAGAGTATGAGGCAACTGTAACATAAAACAGACAAAGAAAGAGAAGAAAAAAAATCTAAGCATGAAGGGAATCTGAGAGAAGAGACTAGTGCTGTGGGACTAGAAAATACTGCTCTGAATAATAAAACAAAATTAATCTTGGGGAAGGAGGAGAAGAAAAACAGCATGAAGTAATTTCTCTTTTTATTAAAGAGACATCTCCAGTTTAATACGTTCCATTTTCTCAACATCACTAATGCAGGGATGACAGGGAGTACTGACTACTATCATCTACACGAACAGCAGCATGAAAGACAACACTACTATTTCCGATCAGTTTCACTGGAGATCTTTGCCATAAAAAATAAAATTCAAAGATGGTACGAAGAGGATGGTGGTACCAAGAGGATAGGAAATTGCGAGATACCCAAAACACCCACAGGCCAAAACTTTCTGCTGCTCTAAAAGATACACCTGTGATGGAGTAAACCATTAATTTGTGAAGCTTGTTAAGTGTGTACAAGTACAGCATGGACAGCAACCTGTTCAAATAGGTATACCCACAGAAATGATACAACCTGATGTGCATCAAGTTGAACCTGAACTCAAGCAAACGCAGCAGCAGTGTGGGTGAGCAAAAGGAAAGCCAGTTGAATATAAAGTATATTCTTAGGCAACAATCACAACTTTCAGGCGGGCAATTCAATCTGTGACTTTGAAAGCTTTCCTGGACACCTCAGTGATCCCAACATAAAGACACCTGCAGCAACTGCAGCTGCCAACTCTGTTTGAAAGGATACGATGCAAAGTTTCTTGGCCATTTTAAGAACTGGCTTCAATTAACTGAACTATTCTACTGCCAACAGGTGATGAAAGTCAGTTATCTCTGAATAGGAAAGAAATATTCAGCTGCTACTGAGCACCCTGCTGCTGTTGAGCTTTTCTGTCCTTCGCTTGCACACCACCATACAACTTCGGAAACAATCCAGGTTGTGCAGACCTTGTTCTAAAGGCATTCAGAGTCCAAGATTGGGATATTTAGCAGAACATCCACCACAACATCTGTGAGCTGTTTGAACAACTACAGTCCTTCAGGACAAAAAAGTTCCCCATGGTGAGTGAACAGCTCACCTTAGAGAGTGAGAACTTGTCAGGGGCTACTGTGGGACCACAGAACAAGCACCCACAGACCTCAGCACAAGCCTCACTGTCATGGGTAGGAGGCACACTCTGGCCTTATTGTCTCCCCAGGACATAGCAAAAACACTCATACCAAAACCACTACGCGGCTATGCTTTTCTCTCCTACAGGGAGAAGAGGAAAGGAAGAACGCAACAGCCAAGTTACCATCTCTACACTACTGTAGTATCCAAGTTTCTTCTCGTTTTGTACTGGGTAATGAGGTATGAGTTATGAGGATGGTATATTAGGATCCATTAAGATACTAAATTCTGCTGGCACACAAAGCATAACCTGCTCCAAGATACACATTGTTTTTCATCTTCAGATCAGATTCAGAATATGCACAATACACTCCTGAAAGCTGAGAAGTCATCTTGCCTGGACTTTGAGCAAGTTCCTCAGTTTACTCCAATAACATTGAAGCCCGTATGCCTTAGGAAAGTAGAAGTGTAAAGAAGAGGGGCTGGGAAGGGCAGAGGAATCTTTCAGATACTGGAAAACAGTCTGAAATGTTTTCCCCTCAGCTCTCAAGAAGTGAAAGCAAAAGAAAAATATTTTAAATACCTGTGAGAGCACGGAAAGTGAACAAACAGCACCACACTGTCAAAAAGTTTTTTGTTGTTGTCGTTTAAGCTGTTAGCAACTCTTTACCCACCAAAGGAGAAAAAGCAAAACCACAACTTGTTTTCATTCTAAATGCCCCCAACAACAACTTGTTTTTTTCTCCCCAGAAACTAAACAAGATACAAAGATGTTTTTGCTGGATTTCTGCGAAACAAATGAGCAAACAAGTTTCATAAGATCCGAATGTTCTCTAACTTGCTCCACAAGTGAGAAGGCACACGAGAGTTAGGTTGTCTTACAGATCCCAATTGTTAAGAGATTTACCTTCTTCACTGTCTGAGGCACTGCTCCTCTCTGGAAGATTTTCATTCTCATTCAGGTCTAAGGACTTCTCTAAAGACCTGCTCCTGACTAGTTTAACAGGTTTTCTTTCTGAAGATGGAAGAGGGCTCTTCTTTATTTGCTTCTCACTTGGGGACTCCTCCACCTGCAACAACCAAGAGGAAAAAAAAAAAATGCATCAGTAATCACAGACCATTCAAAAAAGGAGAAAGTTACTTTCAAAGAAGAAAGCCATATAAATGAAGCCCCAAGTTCTATCTGCTCAATTACCACAGCGTCAAGCACTAATTTCTCCCGTGTTCTCCCACCTCAGCCAGCCTCCCTTCCTCTTTATTTCAAACTTTCACTTTACCCTGCTAAGAAGGGACAGACTTACCTCTACTATCATATCTAAAGCTGCCTCAAAATGGAGGGTTTACTCCCCATCCAGCCCCTTGCACCCACCTACAGAGTTTGGCCCTCTTTCCTGCATCAACACTAGCATTTATAAATTCATTAACCTAACACAGATTATTTACTTTTTATTGATCAGGTTAGCTTTTTTCCTGCCCGTTTAGCAAGGGATCCAACAATCCTGAGGGGAAGCACAATGAAATAGGCAGGACCTCCCTTTTTCAGCAAGATTAGATCATCCCATTTATATATTTAAAAGCTTTCTTATTTTATAGGAGTCCAATATATTTTGATCAAAAAAAAATTTTCAAGACACTGTCTATAGCCATCGTACCTATAAAGTGCTACTCCTCAGAAACAAAGCAATAGATTATCGTTTGCCACCTCCAGTATATGAGCAGGACATCCCCCAAAACATCAGTCACTGAATCAATGATGCAGCTCTTAACCCTAAACTATAACAACTGGTGGCTAAGCTTACATGCCATTGCACACTTCAAGAGCCCCTCATATGCGGTAGTACACGAAACATAGTAAGATCAGGCCTCCAAGTGAGCAGATCTGATTCATCTGCAGTACCATCATCCCTAAAGATTACTCAGCACTGACTCAGAAAAGCAAGAGCATCCGCTACTTGAATAGTCATCGTGTAGTTCCTGTACTTCTTTGCTTTTTTCAAAATAAAAACCATCTACTTTTTTCTGCAACTGAAGGCCACTGGCAGAAGGTGGGTGGCTGGAAAACACACACAGGCATGAATGTGACTGCAGTATAAGCAGACAAAAATAATCCCTCAAGATCAAAACAAAAAAAAAAAAGACTGAATCAGAAAAGCAGATCAATTAATAAATGCTCCTATTGAAAGTTGCTACCATGCCTGAAGTTATACTTGGTCACACAACAGGAAATAGGAAAGAACCAACATTTCCATGTCAAAATACTCTGCCAGTATAGACGGAAGACAGAGAGCAGCTGGTTGTGGCAAAACAGTCTAAAAATTGACACAACAATCCGGCAGAAAGCCACAGAACTCTCATAGCATTTTGATGATGATGATTAGGCATCTGGTGAACAAGAGGAGCTCCCACCAGCAGCATAAGAGCAGCCCACTATGCCATGAGCAAAGCGGGAAAGTCAGGCTCAAGTCAAAAACAAGAGCAACAGCTCCTACAAAAAAGCCTTTCGTGATGTCAGGGAAGAGGAAATTCATGCTGAAACTTTTGGAATAACTGATCAACTCAACAGTTTCCTTGGGGTTTTGGGGTTGGTTTTTTGGGGGAGGGGGAGGGCGGTATTTGTTGGCCGGGGTTTTTTAAAAAACAAAAACACTAAAGAGTAATGATTTTAAGATCTGTTAGTTGGAATTAAAGACACATAATTTCTTCCTTCTATAAATTTATCTCCTGAGCTAGTCCAGTACTGCTAAGCTCTGTGTGCCAAGGCTTTTGAGTTTTTTAACCTGTGAACAGCAGGCTCTGGGACTGGAAGGCCTTCCTACAAGGGGTAGGAGGAATTAGATGGTTGAAAATACAGGAAATAAGGTGGTTCCCACACTGATATGAACTGCACCTAGAGAAGCCAACAAACCATGACTGGTGTTACAGACTTTCTTTAATCAACTATGGACAGCTATTGCCAATGCTTCTTCCAAGAGAGGCCAAGACCTGTAGCCAACCCTCCCATTAGTTCAGGTCTGCCTCTGAAGAGAGCTTTGGGACTTACTTTGTCTATCAGAGCAGTAAAGGAGAGGTTAAGCCTCTTTCACTCCAGTTTTGGGGAGGTGATTAACTGTGTGTGATCACATCAGTGTAATGGTTTTTGAGAAATTAATTCTAAGCACTACTGCCTCCTCCTATTGCCCCTGTGCTTCTATAAAATATGCTGTAATCCCGGGGGCTGTGGTGAGAGTGTTGATATTCTTGAGAAATAGCAAGTGACACAAAGCTGAACATAATCATTATGTATTTTAGTTACACTGAAACAGTAAGCTAAACAATTTAGTTACACATTTATCAAGACTGCACTTTTACACTATAACTAAAGGAGTTTTTAAAGGCATTTTATTCAAGGGAGAATCTTTGCATTTTTCCCTGCATACAAACCAAATCCCTAGGCATTACTACTTATGAACATGCCCAATTAGATTTAGCACCTGCAAGAAACCTCTGGGAGTGGCACCCAGTAGGTAAACAAAACACTTCTTTTCCAGGCAGAGCAATTATTTTTAAACAGCTTGTTCTTGTGCAAATGAGACTTAGAAGTCCAAACCAAGGCTACCTGGGCAGATTTTCAATTATCCTAAAGAGCCCAAATTCCACAGCATCCACACTTCTCCCAGGCCTCCCTTACAGCTCTCCAAAAATCTTGGTTTATACTGCTAGGATTTCCTTGAGGGACACCCATCATCCAATTAACTAAGCTTTTAAAGTCTGATAAATACCATTATTGTTTGCTGGGTATGAGTCCCTAGCCATTAACTTGGATTTCAGCAAATTTGTTTAAAGCCTGCTTAACCTACAGATCAGTTTTAGCAAGTGACAAAAGCCAGAAGATTTATATGGTAGTAAAAACTATTATAATGATCTCCTTTCTTCCCTCCCCAAATTTTCCAAAGCAGAAACAGCCGTTAAGTACCCAACCCTAGTGAAGGTCATAAGAAATGCTTTAGTGCTTTATTTGCTTTTCCAAGATCTTTCCCTTAGGGTATCTATTAATCAAGAGAAAATGTCTGTAACCTTTTAGTACTACAACTACACACAGGAGGCCCAACAACTGCGCTAGACACTGTGCACACCTCAGGTACTGCTACTAACACTCTTGCCCTCCCAGCCAGCCAGGTACATACAACACCATGAGTGAAGCACTCCTGCTTGTTCAGTTTTATTAAGAGAAAACTCATCTTTACTGTATCAAATGTGGGGGGCATTTTCCCCCCCTTCCTTCTGAATCATTTCCACAAATGTAAATAAAAAAAGGTTTCATATATTCACAACAGCAGACTAACTGATCTTTGAAGGCAAGGATAACACAGTATTAACTACCCTCTAATAAACCTCATGTATAGGAGAGACAGAAGAGTAGGTATCTTTAAACAACAAACAGCACAAGCAAGAAAGCACTGGAAGTGAACAAAGACATTAATTTCATAAAGCACTTAGATAAAAATGCACATGGTTCCTAGGAAGGTGCATAAAACACAGTTAATTTTATTTTTAAAGAACAACCACCAAAAAGACCAGGGCATAAGCCTCAGTATTCTAGCCAGGTTATGCAGTGAATTAGTGGTAGGACATTGCTGAATCTCACACCAATGATATTCTCTTACACACAATTTTATTCATTTCCAAATTCAAGAAATACTCCTGAAATCTGAAGATGTTAATATTAAATTTCTGATGTGAAAACCTCCTAGACTACTATGAATTCTCCAAGGCTTCTTTAGAAGTTACAACCCCCATGCATCCTATACTCAGATATACAAGTTAAGCATATATGCTTATCAGTTACAAATAGCAAGAAAGGCTATGTTAGTACTTACTCCTGGCAAGACGTGTCTATTGAGTAACTCTCCTTCTGTTTGAAGCACAGGTTCGCGAACCAAACCAATCATTTTAGGTAGCTTTTCATCCCTTTCTCCAGAATCATCACAAATGCTGGATCTGTCCAAAGCAAAAAGGAAGATATCTTTGGAGACAGAAGTGCTGAAAAATCTGAGAAAGCTTCTTATGTGTGATTTTCACACTCAAACCATGGCTGTTCAGCTAATATTAAACACTAACAACTCATTCTTCCCACATCCACCTCACTAATCTCTCAAGTCATTTTCTTCACCCTAGCTCACCTAGGTGAGCCACCTCTCAGCAGATTCAGCTTCTGACCATAAGGTTAGTAAAACCAAGCACTGGTGAATCAGAGAGAAAGAGTGCTGTGGGAAGAGAGGAAACAGAGATAGCTTAGAACAAATGTGGGGAAAAAAAACATTTTAAGAAAGTTTGAGAAAATAATTTTTTCCTGCATCCCTTATTCCAGAGTTGCAAAGTAGTGCTTTTTTACAGGAAAAAAAAAAAAAGGGAAATATTTAATAGGACATCTTTTGAAGCTCATAGTGAACTTCAGATTTTATTTTTTTTTAATAAGCATACTCAGATAACATACGATTGAAAAGAGACATAATTTACATTGTTCAGTTTTGTAAGGCCATATTTATTTACATACAGACAGAAAAATTAAAGCCCCATTATTAGATTGACACTGGCAGTTTATAAGTTAGTTCACATTTGCTCCAAAAAAATCAACACAGCCATTTAAAAGAAAAAAGACATCCACATACAGTTAGATTATTCCAGCTTCTTAATTCAAGCTGAGTACAATACAAAAATTAGATGAGACCTCAAACATCATGAAAGCAAAGCATAACAAGTGCTTCAGTGTCCACAGAGGAGAGGAAAAGTGTCTGAACAGCATGTATAGCTACATTCTGTTCAGCCCTTCCACATTGTTGAAGGGCATACAGATCCTAACTAGATACCATAATGAGAAAAGGTTGTTATTTAAGGTGTCCTGCTGATATCCCCAAGCAGATCCAGGAAGAACAAGGTCTTCCTACCTCCCTCCTCTAAGGGGCCTCAGCTGTGCTCCTACTATTTTAGACAATGAACACAATTAAGTTTTTATGCATGCTCAGTTTATGCAGTTCGGTTCTTTGCATCCTAGTACTACAGGCTTAACCCTTCTGGTAAGGCTACCAGCACTTCAGAAAAAGAATTTCTAAGAAAGAGGACACTGCTTCTCCCTGAGTATTTCAATAAGCTTTATGGCCTCCCCTTACCGAGGCTGCCCGTTGTCTTCAGACGAAGAGTGGAAGCTCTCCATCTCCTCACTGTTCAGGCCCAGCTCAGAGCCATAGCTCTGGTGCACCAGCTGCCAGAACTCCTGCTTGGTCAGCCTCTGCAAGAGAGCGAGCTAGTCAAGAACCACGGTACGGGACAACAAGGCACAAGAGGTAAACAGTAAGAAGTTTGAATTACGCCACAGCCTTTAACCTCAATTCTGACAAGGACTGAAAGCATTTAGGTATCACATTTCAAGACTGGATTTCAACATTTTGGGGAACTGTACTCCTGTCTTAACACCATAATCCCAGCCCACAACTGCTCAACCAATAACATCAGACATGAGAACAACTGTTATTTCAAGAAAACACACACTTGTAGCTAATTCTTGCTTCTTCACGTGTCTCCGATGTTTTAACAGATATCTTCAAGGTAGCTCTCTTGACTTTCACTCACTACGGCACAAGACCATTAACTAGTAGATTACCAGGGACTCCCTCTATGATCTTGGACAAACTGCTTAACAGATAGACGCCTGTTTCCTCAGGACACTCAGAGCACCTTACAAATCGCAAGAGGCTGGCACTTCAACTGCTACAGACAGTGGTGTCCAAGTCAGCTTTGCCAAGGTGGGACGGGAGGGCCCCACTTTGGCATAAAGTCCCGGCCTTTGCATAAAGTGGTTGCTTCTGCTCAGTAACAGTGTTACCACAACTCCCCACTGGCTACTCTTCCCTTTCTCTGTAGTATCTCTGCCCTGCTCCACAAATTCCCACAGCTGCTGGGACAGATTGAAGTTCTCTCAGACCACCACAGAAGTCAGAAAGTGAAAGCAGTATGACAAAATCATATCAGCAAAGTAAGCAGGTAGTTTCAAAGTCCACTTCAGCTGTAAAGGGGGGGGGAAGAGAGAGAAATGAAACGAGGAAATAAGTCTCTGGGATTTAACCGAGCTTGGAGAGCAGCACTAGCAATCTTAAACAAGAGACCCAACACTGGAAAGCGTGCCTCGGCCACAATCCATATCGATCACGGGAACAGCAGCGCTACTCGGGCAGTAACACAAGTACGGCTGCCTGCCTGCGTGAGACGGTCACGCTGTATACCTATGCATTATTCACCGGGCTTTTCACGGATCGCCTCCGCGCTCCGCCTGCGGAGCGTCACGCTGCCCGCGGCTCCCGCCCGGCGCCG